TTCGGAGCCGGTGTTGTGGCGGACATGATGCGCTCTTCTTCACCATCGCAGCCTCGGCCTTGGAGGCGCCGGTGGGCAGTGTCCGCCACCGTGTGGTTAGTACCGGAATTGCATGGGTCAATGGCGCAGCAACACGAAACAAGCTTTGTCTCGAGAAACGAACAGAGGACCGCGTCCGAGAGCGGGCCGTCCGTTACGCGTCCTTCGGAATCATCCGGCCTGGACCTGGCCCCCTCCTCTCCTCTTCCAAAGGTTTTCGATGGGGTCGAGGTCTGGGGACTGTGATGGCCACGGGGAGGAGCTTGATTCTGTCTCCCATTTTCAGGATGCTTCCACGGCAATTAACATTCGTTTCACGGCTTTTCACACATAGTAACCGCAGGTGCCAAGAATTATGGAGGCACTTTCTTCATTTGGATTATTCGGATCATTTTTGCTGACTTCTGTTGGACCACAAAAACAAAACAATGCCTGACTTTTGTTCGTTATTTGTTGGTGTGTTTGTGATGGAGTAACACTTCAAGTTCTTTCAGAGAGTCCGTCTGTGTACATGAAGCAAAACAAACCCCAAAAAAAAAAAATTTAAGCGTTTTTTGTTGTTGTTGTTGAATCTGCAATTGAAAAGGTGTTTTTAATCCCTCTAATGGACATTTTGGAGGGTGCGTCGGCTTGGTAACGGCTCGGTGTCAACCCCAATTCATTTCAAAGCCATAAAATGGCAAATGTGGGAAGAACAGCCGGAAACAAAAGAGACGAAGAAGTCAAATGTGAAGAGTTAATCGAAGGCGGAGATGATCAAGCGGCTCCCGTTTATGAGCTCGGCGACCGCGACCGGCTGATTCGCCGCCTCGTGAGCCCAAGCCCCCCGAGGATCGCCGCACGGGAGACCCGCGGCCAATCTATCAATCGCGGATCGATCCGAGGCCCCGCTCCCCTCGGCCAAAAATCGATTCGCATTTCCGCGAGTCGGTGAGGAAGCCGCGCGGCTTAAGTCGAGATTGGATGGTCCCGCCGCTGGTGGTCGACAAGGTTTGCCCTCGCAATTAAGCACAAATTGCATCTGCAAGGATCGACGGGTCGTTAAACCCCGCCGCGCGCGCGGCTCCGGCCTGGACGCGATCTGGGGCGGAGGGGGACTGGGGGTGGGGAGACGGGTCGATACCGGTGATAAGCACCAGGGGAGCATCCCTTTTGGACCCCTTTTGTCTTTTCCGCAGCGCCCGCCCACCCCGGGTGTCGTCAGCCTCCGCCGAGGCGCGAAACGGGCAGCTGCGGAAGGCGTCCCGCACTCCAGGGGGCGCCAAAAACGGCCGCAAACTCTCCTTCAATACAAGGGGCGCTCAACACTCGAGTCCGAAGGACTGAGGGGCCAACGCAAACGGATGACGAAGAGCAGCGAGGCCGCTTCATCGGCGCTCAGCCCGCCTTCCCGCGTCAAAGGAACTCTTGACTGGCCACCTTCGACACCAAAACCATTCCAGGAGTGAGCAACAACATCTGACACAATTTCATTTCGACCGGACTGAGATTTCATATTGAAAGGGCCAAAGAAAATGGTGGCTCTTTCAGGAGGGGAGGCTGCGGAGGTTTCCCCTCACCTGCCACCTCGCCGAACACGGGAAGAGCGAACGGCGCTTCAAATTCCGAGCGAGGCCCGATTCACTGTGAAAACGTTGCACTTTCTCCTTGCGATTGCGGGAAAGGCGATGCGCAAAAAGCAATCGAGACGGGTGCCAGTGAGTCAAACGTGCTCCGATGCGCGGCGGCCACCCGGCTTGACTCGCAGTCCGAGCCGCTTTAGCCCAAAGGTGCGCCTCCTCCCTTCACGCTCGCAAAATCTGCTGCGGAGTAGGAAATGAAAGGCAATCATATCAAGGTATTTAGAGTTGGGATTTTTTTTTTCCCCCTTCCTCTCTGAAATAAGCCGCGGGCGGCTCCCGCGATTGCCCAGCGAAGCAGTCGGCATTGAAAAGGGCCCCCTTAAGAAGCTCTGCCGCGGCCCGTTCATTGTTGGGAGCGGAAGGCGAGCGGACTTTTCGGGAGCGTCAGGCCTTTCATTGTGCCCGCTCGCTGAGGGCGACTCGGCTGCCTGTGCGCTTCTGACGCTTGAAGCGAAGCGCACCTCAGCGGGGTGAAGGAGGGCCCGGCGCGGGGCTTTTGGCAGGCCACGCGCCAGGGTGGGGGGGGGGGTTCGCGGCCGGCGTGGCCCCTCGCCCCCGAGCAAAAGGGTCGGCTGAGGAATGTTGCAACCGATCTGGACTCAGAGCGCAAACCCACCCTACGCACTTCGACCGCAAGCTCAAATGTGTGCGTAGCCTCCAACGAAACCAAGACCCAATCGGCGGGAAATTCTGCATTTCAGGACTTTTTCAAAATACACTAATGAGTAAGACCCTGCGGCATATCGTTGAAAGATATCAAACTATATATATAGTGTATATGAGAGAGAGAGAGAGAGAGAGAGAGAGAGAGAGAGAGAGAGAGAGATCTTTTTTTTTCTCACACACACACAACAAAGCCTCACACTTGACCTTTCCAATCTCGTCTCTCCGGGTCCGCATGAACTGATGATATTTCTCTTTTGTGTCTTCCCCCCCCCTTGCCCCCCCCCCCCCCCAAAAAAAATGACATGGAGTATTGATCTTAATTACAATTTGCCAAGCTCAGCAGCTCCGATCACAGCTTTGAGACAAGAGGCAGCAAGGCATCTGTCTCAGGCGCTTGCGTCTTTCGCACGGGAGAGGAGCAAGAGAGGCGAGCAGGAGGAGGATGAGCGCGAGCGGAGGGAGAATAAAAATGTTGAGAAGAGAAGAATGATGGGTGCCTGTTCGGAGGCTTTACTGCGACGACCGACGCGTGTTGGCCGCTCAGTCGTCCGTCACCGTCGTCGCCCCATCCGACGAAGAAAGGAGCCGAACAAGAAAATGTCGCAGACGAGAGGGCAAACCACGTCGGCTTCAACCGGGCATGCGTAGCAACTCGACAGAGCACCGGTGCGGTGTGACGGACCCACGGTAAATCCTTGATTTCAAACTTCACCGCTTCTGATCCCGCCTACGCACATGAGAGTGGACAAGATTGGGTTCCCATCGGATACAATTTGAGAGCAAGTTGTTGTCGTCGTCGTTTTTTTTTCAGCCGTTCTCGAGACCATTTCAAAGTGCGACGACCACTCATGCCTTCAATGTGTCGACCGTCGCCCAGAACGTCATCTCCACTCAACTCTCCTGACATCGGCACGGCAGCCGTATCGATCCGGAAGGTCACTCAATGTGCTTTGCATAATTACAAAACAATTTCACGACATTTGAAAGCGCGGGCTGGAGGACTAAAAAGGAGTCTACTAAAAGGGCGGACAAGGGGAAGAACGGACTTTTGGCAAAAGTGATGACGGCAACGCTTTCAAAGACCTGAAGCAAAGGTCGGAAGGCCGATGGCTCGCAGCTGAGCCGTTGAAGACGCTCCAACAGCGCCAACACAAAACCGGCGAGGGCGCAAAACGAGCGCTTTCCAATCAATGAACGTCGCGGCCAAACACCTCGACAACAGTCCACACTTGGCTTTGCATGAGGCCCAATCCACATTGAACGACACCTCAAAAAATGGTGGGAAAGCTCAAATTAAAGAGGAGAAAATCAGCGAAGCTCTTGCAAATGGCTGGCACCTTTCTGGACACAAAGATGAAAAGCCCACTTTGACATGTCATGAAATGCGGCCAGGAAGTTGCTGCGCAACGCAACCAACAACGTTGCAAAGGCGTCCACGTGGCCAGCGCGCGCGCCACCTTCAAGCAGCAGGACTTCAACCGGGCATGCGTAGCAACTCGACAGAGCACCGGTGCGGTGTGACGGACCCACGGTAAATCCTTGATTTCAAACTTCACCGCTTCTGATCCCGCCTACGCACATGAGAGTGGACAAGATTGGGTTCCCATCGGATACAATTTGAGAGCAAGTTGTTGTCGTCGTCGTTTTTTTTTCAGCCGTTCTCGAGACCATTTCAAAGTGCGACGACCACTCATGCCTTCAATGTGTCGACCGTCGCCCAGAACGTCATCTCCACTCAACTCTCCTGACATCGGCACGGCAGCCGTATCGATCCGGAAGGTCACTCAATGTGCTTTGCATAATTACAAAACAATTTCACGACATTTGAAAGCGCGGGCTGGAGGACTAAAAAGGAGTCTACTAAAAGGGCGGACAAGGGGAAGAACGGACTTTTGGCAAAAGTGATGACGGCAACGCTTTCAAAGACCTGAAGCAAAGGTCGGAAGGCCGATGGCTCGCAGCTGAGCCGTTGAAGACGCTCCAACAGCGCCAACACAAAACCGGCGAGGGCGCAAAACGAGCGCTTTCCAATCAATGAACGTCGCGGCCAAACACCTCGACAACAGTCCACACTTGGCTTTGCATGAGGCCCAATCCACATTGAATGACGAGCCCAAAAATGGTGGAAAAGCTCAAATTAAAGAGGAGGAAATTCAGCGAAGCTCTTGCAAATGGCTGGCACCTTTCTGGACACAAAGATGAAAAGCCCACTTTGACACGTCATGAAATGCGGCCAGGAAGTTGCTGCGCAACGCAACCAACAACGTTGCAAAGGCGTCCACGTGGCCAGCGCGCGCGCCACCTTCAAGCAGCAGCAATTGCTCACAAAGAGGAGGAGCCAAACGTCGGCTCGCTTCCCTTCATTTTTGTCATCGGAACCGTGAGCACGGAGCAGGACAACTCCGCTTTCAGAACCCACACCCGACGAAGCGATTTCGTTTTCATCCGCGGGGACATCTTGTTTTTTACACAAGAGCATCTTCACACATTTGAACTTTACAAACATGCATCGAAAACATCCATTGCTCAAGTGCATAAAATAAGCACATTCTGTGACACCTCAAAGATTCCCATTCAAAGATGGCAAGCGAACATGAAGTGAGAGAAGGCATTGTGTGTATATTCAAAAAAAAAAACCTTCACCAAATTTGAATATCAGACGCTCTTCCTGCATGTCAATTCGAATGCGCCAATGAACAGGCTGGCTGGCTTACCTTTGGGTGCGGTATCGGCCGGTCCACCTGGTCCTGGATGCGCCCACTTCCCCTCTGCTTTTCCAATGAAGCCATCATTCATACGCCTTCCAAACACTCCAAAGGTTTGAGAATATGCACGTTTTTTTTTTTTGGGTGGGGGACGCGCATCTTCTGACTGCCCACGCACTTCAACCGAACCTGTCAAACGAGAACTTTCGAGCCGGTGTTGTGGCGGACATGATGCGCTCTTCTTCACCATCGCAGCCTCGGCCTTGGAGGCCTGACGAGCCCAAAAATGGTGGAAAAGCTCAAATTAAAGAGGAGGAAATTCAGCGAAGCTCTTGCAAATGGCTGGCACCTTTCTGCCCGGTGGGCAGTGTCCGCCACCTTGTGTTTAGCACCGATATTGCATGGGTCAATGGCGCAGCAACACGAAACAAGCTTTGTCTCGAGAAATGAATCGAGGACCGCGTCCGAGAGCGGGCCGCCCGCTGCTTCCCTTCATTTTTGTCATCGGAACCGTGAGCACGGAGCAGGACAACTCCGCTTTCAGAACCCACACCCGACGAAGCGATTGCGTTTTCATCCACGCTACTGGGGGACTGGCGGGGGGGCATCTTGTTTTGTAAATTGAGCCATGTGTACACAAGAGCATCTTTGAACTTTACAAACGCGCATAGAAAACATCCATTGCTCAAGTGCACAAAATAAGCACATTCTGTGACACCTCAAAGATTCCCATTCAAAGATGGCAATTAAGGGAACATGAAGTGAGAGAAGGCATCTGTGCATAT